GACTCGCTTTGCACTTTGAAAAAACCGATCTGGAGGTGTCGGGGGAGAAAAGCTGGGAAAATCCCTTGGTTTGAAAGGTGCTTGGAACAGATGCAGCCCCCTGCCTGGTCCCTGCGCTGCAAAAGCAGCAAGATGCAGCCCTATAACTCCAAAGGAGGGTGACATAAAAATGTTAAATCTGGGAGAAAGGCCTCTTTTAAAATGTGTGAGACATCTTCTGGCTTTTGAGAGGGCTTTGGCGGGCACCAGGCTGGGTCCTGGGCAGAGAGTATGGGTGGCAGGTTGGAGGTATGGGTCAGGCCTGTTGAGTAAGCAGACAGTGAAGCTCAAGGCCATGTTTTGTCTTCCTCTAGCCTGAATTATCTCTGGTAATTAAATGTTTTTTTAATCTCCTCTCACCTGAGCGCTGGCTCGCTGGTAGCGGTTGACTGGGAAATGATGGGGCTGGGGGTGTGCGTGGTTCTGCCAGCTTGGAAAAAAACGTGAGTCTGCTTCCTTCTGGCTGGAGAGGATCTCTGGGCAGAGGGTGCCGCCTTGGTGTGATAAACTGGAAGTGGGCAGGGGATGTGGAGGCCATCAGAGGTGAGCTGGGCACCTGTAAATGGTCTTTCCAGGTGGTTCCCAGCCACAGGGAAGGGCTGCCAATGGGTTCGTTGGGCAGTAAGCTGGACAGTCTTACCGGCTGAAGCTGAAATTAGCCTTGGAGGGACTGGGAAGTGCTTTGGATCAGCTGGATGCCTTCATGCCCATGCTTATGGTTGGACTTTACCCTCTTTTCTAGCATGTGGATATGGAAAACTCCTATCTCTGTGGATACTTGAAGATTAAAGGCCTTACAGAGGTGAGTGTTAACTGCAAAATGACAAGAAAAGATGCTGGGTAAAAGCTTTTCCTGATGGGATGGGAGAAGCTGCCAGCAGAAATAGAAAGTGGAAGGATTGAGCGTAGAGTAAATTTGACCACTAAATAGTGTAAGAGCTTCAGTCTATTCTTGGCTCATTATGCAAGTGTGACAGGCCTCGACGGGAGTCTTGAATGAGGGAAGTTTTTCTGGCATCCCTTAATGTCTGAGCAGAACTGAATCTGACCCTGCGGTCAGCTTTGGGCAGGGTGGTGGTGTGTTGCTGAAAGAAAATAAACCAGTGCGTGAACATGCAGATCTTTTCATACTCCCTTCCTCATCCGTCTTTTAAGATGGCTCCTGGTGCTGGACAGTCAGCGAGAACTGTCTCCTGGGGGGTTGGTGCTTCTTTCCGCCGCAGCACGTGTCTGTGCTCACACGAGAGCACCTGGAGAAGCTCCTTCACCCCAGCTGAGCCTTCTCTTCCCTGCCTGCGGTCTCCTAATCCGGTGCCAATGCAAAGCTGAGGAGGAGCACCTTCCTCCCTGGTGGGGTGGCTTCATGCAGCCCTCGGGCTTTGCAGCAGTCACGCAGCGACCGCTGAGTGTTCGCTAGGGAGCGATGTCGGCTGGAAACGGTCACTTGTGATGGGCCGGCTGAGAGCTTCCTCGCAGTCCCCTTCTGACGTGGCTCCTTCTGGTTTTCTGAAGTGAACAGAGGGGCTGGAATAAGAGGGTGGAGGCTCTGTGTTCACACGAGCTGGGCTTTAGGAGATGTGGGGCAGTCGGCATGCTGGTGGCAGGGACAGGACCACCAGCCTGGGATTGCCTGGAGCGCTTTCCAGCTGCTTTTTGCTGAGCGCATGAACCTCTGTCTGCGTTGGAGTTTCCATCTCTAGGTGCCAAATCTGATCTCTCCTTTTTCTCTCCTAGGAGTACCCAACCCTCACCACTTTCTTTGAAGGCGAAATAATCAGTAAAAAGCACCCTTTCTTAACGCGCAAGTGGGACGCTGACGAAGACGTGGATCGTAAACACTGGGTAAATAAATCTGAGAGGCAGGTATGGGTCTGACGCAGTACTGACTGAGCAGCTGGTTCGGAGGTGAGGTGCGGCGTCTGCCCATGCAAGAACTATCAAAAGGGCCCAGAAACCTCCTTTTTGGGTGCCTCCCTCCTTTCCCCACTGGAAGCTTAGCACTGAGAGGTCTCTTCAGCAGGTCAGCGGCTGTGTTTCATGAGAAGGGAGAGAGGCATCTTGTTTTCCACTTGCTGGCCCCGGGGTTGGAAGGGAAGTGGGAGCAATCCCTGTCTCTTGACACCCCCTGTGAGAGAACACACCCCTTGTTTTGAAGGCCTGTTGCGAAACGGAGTGGAGAAGGGGAGAGGTGTTCCTGTGGCGTGGGCAGGGCTGCTGGTACCCGTGTGTCAGCCACCTCTGCCCGGGGCAGGGTGTGTTCCCGCTGCTGCACTCTGGATTGAGGCCGCAGCAGCCAGGTGATTGCCTCCCTGCCTTGACCTTTGCTGCTGTTTGCCAGGCTTTGATGTTTTGTTACGTTTCTGTCAAAGTATCTTCCTCTGGAAGTGTAGGAGCTTCTCCAGATGGGGGTGGTTGTCTGGCAATCCTCAGTGTTCCCCCCATACTAGCCTTGGAGCGGGAGGGTGTTTATCACTGCTCCAAGGGAGGAGCAGCCCCTTTGGTCTTATTCTGTTGCAGTGTTTTTTCCCTCCTAAATAGAAGTTGATACTGATGAGCTCTACTCCTGGAATAACGTCCTGGGGTTTTCTTTTTTTCTTGCAGGGGAAGTTCCAGGCTTTTTACCAGTATGCAAAAACATTTAACTCTGATGACTTTGATTATGAGGATCTGAAAAATGGGGACTATGTCTTCATGAGATGGAAGGTAAACTCCACCTGTCTCCTCCTCTGATGAGCTGCTTATAAGTGACTGACAGAGGCTCGTGGTGCCTGAAAAGCTCTTTGAGCTCCGATGGTTCAATAAAAGATCTCACCCTACCAACCTTGTCACCCACCACGCTTGCAAATCCCAGTGTGGCTCCTGTCTAGCCAGCTAATTGCATCCTTAAGGGCTGCAGTCATGGCTGAAAACACAACAGGAAAATCTTGCTTGGTGATGCTCCAGAGGATGAGAGAATTGGTGTCTCCAGTCCCTACGTCTGGGGTCTGTGTGTTTGATGCAGACTGACTGGTCTGCACCAATCTGTTCTTCCTCCCTCTTTACACGAGCCTTGTGCAGCTGCTAGGGGAGGAAATCATAGGGTTATAGAGTGGTTTGTGTCATAAGAGACTTCTAAAGGTCATCTAGTACATAAGCAGGGACTTCTTCAACTAGATCAGGTTGCTCAGAGTCTCGTCCAATCTGACCTTGAATGTTCCCAGGGATGGGGCTTCTACCCAAGACACTGGCACAGGTTGCCCAGAGAGATGGTAGAAGCCCCATCCCTGGGAACATTCATAAAAGAATTTCCACCTTATACCTGATATAAATCTTCAGTCTTTTAGCATAAAACTGTTACTCCTTGTCCTATCACTGCAGGGCCTGGTAAAAAGTCTCTCTTCATCTTTCTCATAAGCCTCCTATAAGTATTGAAAAGCTTCAATCACATCTCCCCAGAGCCTTGTCTTCATCATCAGGTGGCTCCGATTCCTGGTTTTGCAATTGGCTTCCGGTTTGCAGGGGTCAGACATCAAACCGAGACTGATCTTGTGCACTCTTGACTGATAAAAGAACCAGTTTTTGTTTCCCTGCAAGCTGCCTGCAGTGGCACGATGGGCTCGGTGGTCTGGGCTGCAGGGAGCGCTCAGCCGGGAGGAATGTTCTTGGGTGCCAATATTCAGATTGGGGAGGGTGGGAGGGTTTGTATTTGACTGGCATTTTAAAATACGGTTTGTGTTCTGTGTGCAGGAACAGTTCCTAGTCCCAGATCACACTATCAAAGACATCAGTGGTGCTTCCTTTGCTGGTTTCTATTACATCTGCTTCCAGAAGTCAGCAGCATCTATAGAGGGCTATTACTACCATAGGAGTTCAGAATGGTAAGGAAGCTTCCTTCCTCCTGTGGACTGAAGGGTGGCTCCTCAAACCAAGCGCTGACTCCTCTTCTGCTTGTCCGCAGTTTTGGGAGTGTCCAGGTGGTGCTTCTCTGGGCTGGGAACGAGGTTCGGGCTGGCGGATGTCCGTCAAGGCAGGATGGAGGGGGTGTGCCACGCTTGGCCGGAGCAGACTAATGCAGCCCAGCCGGGTGGTGTAAATACCTGCCCTTTGTGCGTGGCGGAGGGATAATTGGGCTGGCAAGGTGGAGCAGGGGAGATACGAGGCCTCGAGCTGTGCTGTGGCCCAGCGACACAGTGGTTCATTGCGTCAGTGAGGCACGTTGGCGGGCAGACACCGGCTGTGGTTCACTAAAAGCATCCCTCCAGAAGCCTGGTCTCCAGTCCAAAGTTCTCCTTGCCTTGGTCCTTCAGAAGAGGATGTTGGAGGGACCTTTGAGAGGGAGCTCGGTGCTTTCTGTTGCTCCCTTCAGGCAGAAGTCTTGTTAGGCCAGTGCTTTGTAGTCCAAGGTCCTCAGGGTGTTGCTGTAAGACAAGTGAACAGTCAAAGTTAATCGGTTGGTTTCTCGTTAGAGCCAGCCATCTGACAAGCAGCTGTGGAAAGCTCTTTTCCCTCTGACAGCCCTGGAATGCGCAACAAGTGAATCTTTAGGGCAGCTGGAAGCTCTTAGGGAGAGGGTGGATGCCTGGGAGGTTTTCAGACAAATTCCCTCGAGCTAAGCTTTGAAAGACCCGAGTATAATTTGTAGTTGTAGCAAACACCCTTTGAACATGAAAGTTGTCGAACTTCAAAAGGTGTCCAAAAACCACAGATGTACCCACCTCGAACACGGCCAGGCTGCAGGTAGCTCAGAGGCACGGGAATGGAAATGGGGAAGGGTGCTGAGTCCTCGCAGGGTTTTGGCACGGAGGTGAGAGGGTTTTGGGGGCCTGAATGCCTCCGAGACTGTAAAGGGGAGCGGAAGAGCCAGCCACCGAGACGTCTGCTCTGTGGCCTGCCAGGCAGGAGCCGCTAGCGCTGGGGGCGCTCTGTTGCTCTGGGTAATTCTGGGCTTGCAAGGCAGGAGCCGCTAGCGCTGGAGGAGCTCTGTTGCTCTGTGTAATTCTCTTGTCCATTTTTTCCTTCTCTCCCAGGTATCAGTCATTGAATTTAACTCACGTTCCTGAGCACAGCGCTCCTATCTACGAATTCCGATGACAGCTGTCCAGAACTGATACCGCACGGAAGCAAACCGGGCAGGAGGGCATGGCCTGCCGCGAGAACTGTGTCCCTGTCGGAGCACGGGAATGCACGCTTCTCTCCTGCCCCTCGGACTCGTGAGAGAGAGCCTGAATGTTAACCCACCCAGCCCAAGGAGTGTGGCTGCTGGCGCTTGATTCTCCCTCCTGTCGAGTGGCGATTTGATCTTTAATCCGGTTTTTAAGCTACCTTTAAATGCACTTTCTTATTGCACAGCTAGTTTCTCTATCACTGAAGTCCCGCCCGGCTCTCCTCTGGGAGCTGTTTCTCAGTAGCTGGGGACAGCGGTCTGTCCGCTGAGTAATAAGAAAATAGAAGCTCAGGGCTTCTGTTTTCATTGTTACAGCCTGGTGTAAGGCTTGAAATCGCCAGGATTCAGGTTTGTTGCCCAGATTGCCAGCTCTGATGCTCCCAGAGCCAGGTCCTGTGTGTGAGGTTCTGCTTGGCGGAGAGCTGCTCAGCTGCAGAGTGTGTTGAGGGAGTGTTGGCTGAGACAGATAAGGCGTGAAGGAGTCTTTGCTTTGCTCTGGCTAGCGAGGTTAGCCAGGGCTGCAGATCTTTCAGGAACGCCGGCCCTTTGGAGCTGAGAGCTGTTCTGGCGTCTGGATATGCCACTGGGAATTAATCTGATGTACGGACTTCCAGGCTCTCAGTAAAGTGGATCTGAACTCTGCTTATAGATGTATATTTGCTCTTTACTTAAGTTAAGGGTAAAAAAAAAAAAGAAAAAAAGACAAAAAAAAAAAAAGACTTCTATTAAAAAAACCATAAATATATTTTTATGGTTCCTTTTCCAAAGGACCCTATGGCAAATGCACAAGTACTCGATTACATTTTACCGTTTTCACATTGAAAACCGGGAATGTCTGCGTTAGTTTTTATATACGTGTCTGTAACGAGCTGGCCGCTTGGGGAAAGTAATCGGAGTGCAAGTGGTGGGCAGCATCGCAGGGACAGCTCTGGGACTGGTCAGCATTTGTAACTCGCTCTTCGTGCTTCACCAACACCACTGCTTGATAGCTTTTTACGGGGGACAACAACAAAAAAAAACAAAAGAAAAGAAAAATGACACAAAAACCCCACCCCAGTAGCTCTCCTCTGACTTTGAAATGTCTCAAGTGATATAACTTAAGGCTCGTGTGCCAAAGTGTGTGTGTGTATGTGCGTGTGGTTTTGTTTTTCTTTTTTCTTTTTTTAAAGACATTTTAAAAGTTGGCCTTGGCTGTATATTTAATGTGACAGTCCCACTTGCGGAGCTTTTGTGAGAGTTTAGTTTGCGGGTTTTGGGTTTTTTTTCTGGCTGTTTTCAAACCAGCCCCCTTAAAGCCAGGCTTGTGTCATGCGCTAACCAGGTGGGTGCTGAGGACCAGTTTGCCGCCTGGGAGAGGAAAAGCGAAGCCTCCGCGTGCCTCAGGCCGAAGTGGTTTGGGTTTTCTTCTTTTTAACTAAATTTCTTCCTTTCGGCAGCCCATCTGCCTGCTTTATTGCAGCAGCTGAATTAAGTTTAAGCCTTAACGAGAAAGTATTCAGGTTTCAGTGAGCCCGTTTTCTGCTGTTCCAAGTCGGGATCTTGCGTGTTCAAGAAGCGGCCGGGCTGGTCTCAGGAGATCATGCGGAAATCGCCCGCCTTGTGCGTGCCGTTCACTGCTGATGAGTCTTTTTCCCCTACACAAATCGAGAGAGACCTGCTCATGGGAGAAGTGGGGAGACGTGGCCCTTCTGTGAGGTGGGAGCCCCCACTGTGATGAAGGAATCCTTTTGGCCATCGCGGGTAGGTTTGTAGCGTAGCACGAAGGCAAGCGGGAGAGAGATTTGAGGTGCTGCGAGCTGAGCAGTGGGGAAGCAGATTTTTGGTTTATTCTGCTCCTCTTGGAGGAATTCAAACCCCTTTGGCAGCAGAAGGGGGGTTTCCTTGCGGGTGGTGCTGCGAGATGTCCTGGATTTGGAGGCGAAAGCCGTCGGTGCTGCTCTGCCGTGACCAAGCAGGGGGGTGAAGCCTCCTCCCGGGTGCTGTGAGCGTGGGGCCCCAGCTCCGGCGGCTCTTGGCAGCCCTGGGGAGCTCTCTGTGTGCAACAACGGTGCTGAGTTCCTCGCGCTCCCCGGGGCTGTCGGTGCCAGCCTGACACTCGAGTTTCTGATGTGGTTTAGTTGAATTTACACTGCAATCGTTGGCAGAAGCTGGGTTAGAAAAGGTCTTGGGATTGTTTAATCTGTATAACTACTCCAAAACCTTCCAGGTTTTTTTCTTGAGGCTTGATGTGTTGCGAGAAGGGTGGGGAAGGAGCATCCTGCTCTCTGCCTGTCTCCTTCCCGCCCTCCTGAAGCCGATTCTGGCCAAAACCCAAAACTACCGGGGTGACGGCGCCCCATGGCGCAG